GCTGGGAAATGTTAGGTTTCCAGGGATGTGCACATCTCTCAGAGCCCAAGAGGATGAAAGTGAAGATAAGGTTTAAGCTTGGGAGAAACTGGACAATGGAGAAAGCACATTCACACACATTTAGCTCACCTGACCTTTATGATACCCCCACAAGGTGGACAGTTCCTGTGATCCAGGGTTGACCAGGTTGGTCAAGATGGAGGTGCCTGGGGGAAGGGAGGGTATTCCCTCTCACTGGACAGCAGTCTACACCCCCACAGCCCCTCCTTAGCTGAGTTGTATTGTGGACTCCTGCCTGGCCTCACTCGGGGCTTGCTCCTCTTCTGAGTCACATGTTAAAGACATTCAAGGCCATTGCTTCAAGCCAGGCTATGCAGGGTCGATGGCCCATGGAGGCACATACAGAGGGTGTGCCAAGGGAGAGGCAGGAAGGGGCAGGGGAGGCTCCACAGAGCCCAAAACCTTCTGCTCTGTTTGTCTGCCCGGGGATATTCAGGTGCCCCTGAGATAGTCTAGCATCTCCCTCAAGGTTGTGAGGTGATGCAGAGCCCCAGGCAAGCTGGAAGTTTAATTTTAGCATCAGCTGGACCTAATTAGTTAGTTTGGAGGGGGGTAGGCCCTTTCACAGAGGGCTCCATTGTTCCTGGGAACCTGGCAGGAGTGTTTATCATTTCAGAAACCCAGAAGGAGCTTGGGGTTGTCCTCCTTTCAAATGCTAATCCATAAAGCCACTCCAAGCCAGGCCTCAGAGGAAGCTCAGGGCTGAGGTGGAGCCCAAACTCTCAACTCCTTCAAGAGCAAGGCAGGTGTGGAATCAACACCTGGAAAGCAGCCAAATGGAAACCTGGAGCAACAGCTCAGAATGTCACATGTCAAATAGTTTAATTGGGTAATCATCTGAAGGAGGGTTTGTGCAAAACCTGCGGGAAGTCTGTACCAGGAGTGTGAGGGGAAGAATCCAAGAACACAGTTCAGTCTGCCTATGCCTGCCTCAGCCCCACAGAGTGGGGGGCCCAGGACTGGATTATTCTCTCCCAAGAGAGGCTCAGGAAACAGGATCTAGTGATCCCCACCTTAAGAGCCCTGGGCAAGCAAGCATTCCTGGAGCCGCAAGGGCACCCAGCCCCAAATGCCCACCAAATGGACCAGTCCCAGACCACAGCAGGCAGTGGAGTGCAGTAGTACCTGTCCACATTCTGGTTCACACTGCACAGGTTTGAGTGCTGGCCTTGCTGGGGATGAGCTGTGTGTCTTTGGGCAAGTCATTTCTCTGTGCCTCAGTTTTCCCATCTATAAATGGGATGATAGCAGTACCCACCTCTTAGGGGATTGTGATAATTAAATGAGCTCATACATATAAAGATCTTAGGATTGTACCTGGACTTCAGCAAACAGTTATGCATCATGATTATTACCCTTTTCTCCTGCTCTGGGTCACCTGCAGGTCTCCCGCTGGGATGATGGCATGCTTGTTTTCCATACTATGTGTCCAGCTTCTATACTACACTGACTGTACCCACTCAGGACTGACCTGGTTCTCTGGGCTTAAGTTGGTGGCAGGGCCCTGTTTCCACCTATATGAATCCCCCACTCGGCCACCACGTCCCTCTCCATTGCTGACCCATCGAAGAACTGCCAATGGGGCCTGAACCCAAATGACATGGCTCCCCATGACTCCAACCTCCTGGGCTGGTGGGAAGGATACCAAGCACTTTCTTCTTTTTGGGCAGAGCCACTGGCCAATTCTCCTGTCTCTCTATTCTCCCATTTCACACATGATGAGGTCCCAGAGGCCTTATATTCTAACAAGGGGAAAGGTGGGTGTGCCTGGATCAACAAATACTTTTGCCTCCATTCTTCACTTTTGTCTTTTATGGCCCAGCTCAAATGTCACATCTTTGGTGTGGCTTTCCCTGATTCTCGTGGTCAGAATTCTAACATCACAGTTGCTCAGCTATGATCTTGGACAAGTTCCTTTCCTCTGTCTGGAGTTTCCTCATCTGTGAAATGGAGATACTGCTACCAAACGAACCTGACAGGACACTGGGAGGATCCATTATAAGCCAATGGATGTAAAAACCTACCTCCCCTCCCCTCACGTTCCTTCCCAGGCACGGGAGATGGGGAGATACCCAAGTGAGCTGACCACACAGGTGTCTACAAAGCTTACAAAACCAAACCCTTTCCTGGAATGGCCATTCCTCCTTCTTTACCCATGAAATTCCTAGTCAATCTTCCAGGACCAGCTCAAATATAATCTCTTCTGTGAAGCATTCCTACTGTCCCCGGGGAAAATAAATTTCTCTCTCCCATGTACTCCTGTAATTCTTTGTCTCTATTAAATCTCTTATTTTTTTTAACTTTTATTATATTTAACTTATATCATTATTGCCTGGCCCCTCACTGTGCTTGGGGATTTGCTTGAGGTCAAGAACCATATTTCGTTCTTTGGGAGGAATTTCATGATGCCCAGCACGTAGTAGCTGCTCCATAAATGTTCATGAACTCAAGTTCTGTTTTGTGTGTTCCCTGAATTCTACAGTGGGTTCTGGAGGCAAATCCTGCTGTATATGCAGGATCCTGACCCTATTACTGGTTCATCTGGAACCCACAACTGAATCTACAATCTAGTCCATGGAGTCTATGGAGAAGGGCTCCCACACAGCCTGGGAGTGGGATGGCCTTGCATTCCCACAGGATCTCAGCTGCAAGCCAGTAGAGGCAGTGAGCTACAGCTAAAGGACTTCAGGAAACAGTGGGTTCTGGAAAAGCCAAATCGTGTCTGTAGTTGAATGTGTGAGTTCATTAAGTGTTCAATGACTCGATTTTCTTTTTAAAAAATTTAATAGCGTCTATGTATAATATGACTCTACATTTAGCAATTCTTCCTTCCTCCTGTAATGGTCACTGAAGGCAATTCGACACTCACATTTATGCCAGGTCCCTTATCCACGCCTCACATTTTACCCCCACAATGATATTTGAAGTAGGTAGTAGTATTCCCTGCATTTCATAAATGTGGAAATTAAGGCTGAGAGAGGATAAGGAGCATGCCCAAGGCCAAGGAGACTAAAACTCAGGGCTGATGGCAAAGATTTAGCTCTTCCTAGTCAGTATGCAATGCTACTTTCTCATCAGAGTGTCAAGTGCTTGCCAAGTACTGGCCTAGTCCACATAAATGGATCTGACGTGTTTCCAGCCCCCTCAAGAAATTTGCATTCTGGTAGAGGAGGCTGATAAACACATAATTAAAAACATGAAGCACAAAAAATATAACTATGGACTAGAAGTATGTGATGAATTGCAGGGGAGCCTGAGGGGGGTGTGAGCAGTTCAGCCTGGGGGGATCAGGGAGGGCAGAGTAGCCTAGTCTTGGGTGACTTTGAAGGCTAGCCTCCATTCCGATGGATAGGGAATGAGGAGAGGAGAGCACACAGATGTGGGAGGCAGAGAGGACCACATGTGTGAAGGGGCGGAGGGCCAGAGCGCCAGGTGTCCTTGAGCATGGGGAACAGATCAGCGTTAGCTAGGGCATGGGATTTCTGAGTAGGAGCTGGGCTGTGACAGGCTTGCTTTTGTCAAAATGCTGGACTTGTTTCTTTAAGCCTTGGAGGCTGCGGACAGCCTCAGAGGAGGGAAACGAGCTGACCTGCACTGGGCAGGAGGGAGGACCTGGGAGGATCATTTCTGAGTAGGAACTGGGAGGTAAATAGGGTCCTGCATCCTTCAAAAAGGTACTGTCAGCGCCCAAGGTCTCTGCCAGGACTGGTTTCCAAATGAGAGTAAGAGAAAAGGAGTCTCTTTCCAATTGAAAGAGCTAGGTTGAAGACCAGAACTGCTCCCGGGCCCCGGTGCAGCGCCCCCCACAGGACTGCAGGAACATGGCTATTCTGAGTGATGAGGCCGTGTCAGTGTCCACAGCTGCACACCAACCCCCCCACCCCCCTCCCCCCCCCCACCCCCGGCCCCGAAGATGAGATCTGACACACTGCCCGCTGCCAAGGGTGATGTGGGGCCAGAAGAGGAAGGAGGGGAACCGGCATCCGTCTCTGGGCTCAGCCTGCAAGGCTCAGCCCAAATGCAGGCTTCAGCACTGGAAGACTGCTTTTCCAAATTAACAAAAGATGTTTGAGATCCATGATTCCATGTTCATCATATAGCAAATGATTTATACACGGAGATTTATAAATTCTATGGAAACATAAATGACACATCTCTACACAGTATATTGTATCTTTATATGTTCTAACACAGACTAAAACAATGTCCCATAACATATAATAAACACAAGCAACTTTTTTTATCGTCAGCATTAGAAATACGTATTGATAATTACCAGGCACCTTGCACTGAGGATTCTTGGAAAATACTCCCATTTTTCCTTTTTTATATATTTTTAAAAACATATCTTCTGAACTCATCATGGAAAAAAAAACAAGCAATCTTTTTAGAAAACTGACCCCGAATTCTTTGGCTCTGAAAGAAAATGTAGTGCCAAATTTTTGCCTAAAAAAATGACATTTTAAGTGGAATCTGAGTCAAGCCCCAATGAAGGAATGAATACTGGTTCTTTGAGTCAGCAAAAGAATTCAGTCTTTGGTATCCAACACTCCATTATTCATTGGCCTGAATTGGCAAGAGAGCTGTCGGCACTGTGGAGATGACCAGAAAAGCAAGGGTGGGGGTGGGAGGTAGGTGGATAATGAGAGAAAAACAATCTGAAATACCTCTCAGGCCAACTTTGAACAACATGTTGGGCATTTATCATCAGAGGTGGAGGAGCTCCACTCTCCCCTTGCTAGATACTCTCTCAGTTCATTTCTCTGTGCATGGGGTAATTTCCTGAGCAAGTGCTTAAAATCAAGCCTTTGATTTTCACGTCGAGCCTTTGGCTCAGTCAGACATAGTCTCCAGAGTCCCATTAAGCAAGGCCAGAGGAAAGAATTGGTTCCCCTTTATGAGACAGCCCCTCCCTGAGCCCGTGCCCCAGGACGGCTCACCGGGGCCTGCGGAAGGTCAGGCCGTAGTGCTGACAGGCCAGCCCCACAGTGGGAGTGTACACGATGGGCATGAATTTCTCCACGTCTGACGTCAGCACTCGGTAGAAGAGCTTCTCATTCCGGTCCTGGAGTGTCATGAGAATGATGTACCTTGGGAAGGGAGACGAGAACCAAGCTGGTCACAGGAGCCCCACAGGTGGCAGCACTAAGGGCCCTTGATGCCCAGACCCAGGGCTCCCGCTCAGCTGCTCACAATGGCACATTCATAGGCCAATCGCCATCTCTCCTCAGCATGGGTCTCATTTTCTATGAAATGAGGAGAATATCATCTGCCTTCTAGTACTTACTCTTACTCATAGCATAGGCACAATTCTAAATATTTTACATTAACTCATTTAAAACTCCCAGAGACTTGGAAGATAGAGGCTAAAATGCTGGCTATTTTAAAGATAAGGAGACTAAGGCACAGAGAGATGAAATCACTCACCCAGCTCTCATAGCAGAGTAAGGATTTGAACCTAAGCAATCTGACTCTAGAATCTCAACCGTGGTGCCAGATGGCTAGTTATGTTATTACTATGTGGACATTGATGAATGACATCAGAATCATAACATGCTGGGGGTGGAGTAGGGTCCAGGAAGATACCGAACACACCAGTGGTATATGAACTGGGCTTTCCCACCCCAAGGGGCCGGTTCCTATCACAACCACAGCTCATAAGTGGCTGAGTACTGCTTGGCATGCTCCAAAAAAATCTCTTTCTCACCTATTATTCCCTGAAGCCTAATATCACTAAGCCAGGAAAAGAGCCTTTCATTCACAGTCCTGAAAATGCAAAAACCCTGGGAGAAAAAAAAAACCCAGGGTTTGAAATTCATGATAGGGTGTAGGTGACTACTGATATGACACCCTTTCTGGATAACAGTTTAGGAGAGCATGGAGGTACTTGAGCCCTGGCATGGAATGGGGTGGGAGAGTTGTTCCCATAGGGGAATGATCCCTGGGTGTGGTAGCAGAGTCCTGGGTTTGAATCCCAGCTCTGTTGTCTCCTAGTTTTGTCACTTTGGGGAAGTCACATGACTTCTTGGGGCCTCAGTCTCTTCTTCCTCTCCAAAGGCACTGGTCCAGAAGTAAAAATAGTGTTTAGAAGGAAGGGAGGGTTTCTGCTTAGAACAGACAGCATCTCAGCTCATTACTAGCATGAGCGTTCTCCTACTCAGTAGCCATTTGTACACATCTCTTCCCAATTCTGCATTCAGTAATGTCGAATGGTAACTTGAAATCGGTCATGGTTAGGAGTATTCACATCATGGATACGGGCAAATGCTACAAACCAGGGCTCCCTCGGTGTCCCAGAACCAGTTAGTAAACATTTACCAGCGTACCATTACCCTTATCCAAAAGAAGCTGGGGAGCCTCCTTAGCATTTCCCCGAGCACCTGCTGAAACAAGGGATTCTAGGAATGAGTGGGTCAGAGTAGTCAGCAGAGCATCAGGAGCAAGCTCTCTGGAGCTCCCAGAATCAGGCACAACCCCCCTGCTCCCTGGGCCTGCCCCATTTTCCCTGGCATATAAGTAAGATCTACCTAGCTGGAAAAAAAACAAAAAACGGGGAGGTAAGGATTTGGGACTTCTAATTTTGAGGAAAGGGGATTTCTACATTAGACTTTAATTCTTCATAAATTTAACAAAGGAGGGAAGTTCAGGTTGTTCAAAGTTAGAGCATGTGTAATGTTGGTTGAATTCATTGTGTACTTTCTGGTTTGCTCTTCAGGGTACTAGACCTAGTATGAGTGGAATAAACAAGAGGGAAAGAGCATTTGACCTGGGCTGCAGTATGGCCTTGGAGTTAATGGGAGTGATATCCATAGCGTTCAGCCCTTCAGGAATAGAGGGAGGGGTGAGTAGGCAGAGGTTTCCTTATCCCCTACCATTTAGAGGCAATGGCTACTGTGGGGGGAGCACAGGAAGGTAGGTGCAGGATCATCCTAACATGCTGCTGAGCTCTGCCCCTCGGGGGCAGCCACACCTTCAACGACCCCAAGTCTTGGCCATTAAGCTCTATAGATATGTAGGGAAAACCATATCCTCCCCCTAAATTTCTGCTGGAACCCATAGCAAGGTGCCATATTTATTTTACAAGCTTTTGCATAGTGCCTCCTGTTATAAGTTACAGTTACTATGTAAGTGTTTTGAGCACCTTAAAATACTAATGCATTTAAGCCTCATCATAACCCTATGAGTTAGATGCCACTGATAAACTCATGGTACAAATGAGGAATGGAGGCTAAGTAATTTTTGCTATTAAGTGGTAGAATGAGGATTTGAACTTAGTCTGACACTAGAGTCTAGTTTTGTAGCCATTAAGCTCCAATGCCTCCAGCTATAGCAGAGCAGAGCAGTTAAAAGCAGACTCTGGAGCAAACTGTGTTCAAATCCTGGCTGTACCAGTTCCTAGCCATGTGATCTGGGAGGTCACTACCTTCTTTAGTGAAACTGACAAAGCTGACCCTGTGATCCTTCAGTTGGCTCTTCACGGAATATCCCCCCGGGAGAACCCAGAGGGGCGGCAGGGTTATTAACGGTTCCCATAAACCTCTAACATACGACATCCTAGCTCCTTTCCAAGGTGTCGGGGTGCATTTCCGCTTTGCTCCCCCCACATTCCCTTCATACCAGGGACCTGGGCCATGGACCACTTCCTTGACACACTTGTCCCACTTTGCTCCCCTTCTTCCTGCTGAGTGAAATGCCTTCCATGAACCCCCCCCCCACTGTTTGCTGAAGCCTTATCAGTGCTTCCTGGGCTGACTTGGATACCACCATCTCCCAGAGGCCCAACAAGATTGCACCGGTTGGAAGTCCGTCTCCCTTCCCAGTTCTGACACTGCCTCTGTCATAATAAGCCCCATCCCTCAGGGAGACCACCACCCTGTGGAAGGTGGGGCCAGGGCTGGGATCTCTCAGGGCTCTCAGCCTTTCCTACTGGACAGTACCAGAAAACCCGTGTGCCACAGGAAACACCTGAGCCTGGGGCTTGGGGAGAGAGCAGACTCTAGGCACTGACTTGTCCAGGTCGCTCTGCTGCCGCTCGTAGTATCTCATGATCCGCAGGAGCTGGACGTCCTGGCTCAGGAAGCAGGGGGGGATCAGGCCGTGGATTCCAAGCTGCAGCCTTTCTTCCAGTGTGAAGGCCATCCCCTGAGAGAACAAGAAAGAAACACACGCGCATGAAGGGATATGCGCGAAACTGAGGAACAGAGAGGTCCGGTCAGCAGACAGGCAAAAGTCACTGATTCAACAGTGGGCTCTGCATTCAAATCCCATCTCTGCCAATTAAACAGCTGAGCAATCTTGTGCCAGCTACTTTGACTCTCCTGAGCTTCAGCTTCTTCATGGAAAAAAATGGGGAAAATGTCTACATTGTCAGCTTTTGGGGGTTAGTTTTTGTTTTTTAAGATGTGTTTTATTTTTCAGAACAATTTTTGATTTATACCCAAAATGGGAAGATAGTACAGAGAGCTCCCCTATATCCCCTCATCTAATTTCCCCTATTATTAATATCTTATATTGGTTCAGTACATTTGTGAGAGCTAATGAACCTAAAGTGACACATTATTATTAAGTAAATGCCAGGGTTTATTCAGACTTCCTTAGTTTTTACCTAAGCCCCTTTTTGTTGTTGTTTTTATACAGTCCCACATTGCATTTAGTCACCATGTCTCCTTAGGCTCCTTTGTCCGACAGTTTCTCAGACTTTCCTTGTTTTTGGTCTGTGACAGTCTTGAGGAGTACCGCTCATGTATTTCATACAGTACCCTTCTATTGGCATTGGTCTCCTTTTTCTCATGATTCTACTGGGGTTATGGGTTTTTAGAAGGAAGACCACAGAGGTGAAGTGCCATTTTGATCACATCAGATCAAGATCCATACTCTCAACATGATTTATCACTGTTGATATCAACCTTGATCATGACCTTGAATACCGGGCTGGGTCGTGCTTGTCAGGAATCTCTGCTGTAAAGTGACTTCTTTTTTGGGACTCTTCCGCATGGGAGATTTGTCTCTTCTCCCCCACGTATTTTTATTCAATAACTTATTTATATTAGAATGGACTCCTGGGTATTTATTTTATACTTTGGATTATAAGCCAATACTGCTTTATTTATTTTGTTACTCAAATTGTTTGTTACTCAGCTTTGGCCACTGGGAGCTCTTTCAGTTGGCTCCTGTATCCCTTTAACATATTCCCTTAATTCCTTCCTCCCTCCTCCTCTCCACTTCCCTCCTTCTACTTCTCTCCCCTCAACCTCCCTCCTTTCCGTCTCTCTCTCTCCCTCCCTCTCTCTTTTTTTCTTTCTCTCTCTTCCTTCCTTCATTCCTCTTCCTTCCTTCCCTCTTCTTTCTCTTTCTTTCTTTCTTTCTTTTCTTTCTTTCTTTCTTTTCTTTCTTTCTTTCTTTCTTTCTTTCTTTCTTTCTTTCTTTCTTTCTTTCTTTCTTTCTTTCTTTCTTTCTTTCTT